CCGAAGACCGATCCTTATGACGGCCAGGGTGCGATTAGCTAAACCCAACACTTCGAGCCCAGCCAAAAACATGTTACGGGAATTTTGAAGGGGAAACATCATGTCATGGATAAACAGCCACTAAACCATTTTTACCATTACTCACAAGTTATTCCCAAAGTCTAATTGTTTTCTATTTAAGAATGGCTAAGCATATTCCTAAATTAACTAGTAAGCACCACATATATAAAGTTCTCACTAGTTTTATTTTTCCTAGAGTTATCATGGATCATAATAATACAAATAATAAGGCTATTACAAGGAGAATCGGTAGTGCTAAATAAAACAGTGATATGCGTGGGAATTTAATAAAGCAAAATGCAATGATTTAAATAAACATAATTTTATAAATTGGGATAACAATATGATCAAAATGACATGACTTGCCATGCTCGCAACCAAAATCCTCTAGATCAACCTCGAGGCAGAGCGGCTCTTCCGAATCTGTAGCGTCTACACGACATACGCAAAGAAAAATGGCCAAAACATAAATAAAAACCATATAAGATGCAGAAACAAAGCATAAAAATGGGTTCTTTACTTTTTAAGGGAAAATTAGCAATTTGAACGGGTCGAATCCGAGTTCAAACCGTGAAGATATGGCCATTTGAATTTTAGGTGTTGTTTGAATGGCATTTTACAAATTTGTGAATTAGTTTAGTAAAGGAAAAACTATTGTGCGTGCGTGCTGTAACAGCAGAGAGGAGAAACAGTGGAGAGGGAGAGAGAGGTGTGTGAGGACAAGGCAGCCGGTCTCCACCGGCGACCATGGCGCAGCGGCACACGACACGAGAGAGGCGAGGGTGACGGCAAGGCTCACCTGATCTGCAGGGACGGCAGTGAAACAGCAATGAGGAAGAAGAAGTGGCCGGCTCTGTTTACATCGGGGATGGAGCTCCAGGGCTTGCCGTGATTGGAGAAGACATGGCCGAGGGAGAGGAGGAGACGGCGAAGCTGGCAGTGGCTTCGCCAAGGCTCAGCGATGCCCTTGCCGATGCCAAGGGGTGGTTGGACAACTCGCCAGCGGCTGTACTCAAAGAAAAATGGTGTGACGGCGATGGAGCGAGCATGGCGCTCGAGTGGCACGGGGAATGAGAGGAGGCGGTCTCGAGGTTTCTCTTTATATAGGCTGGAGGGACAAGCCGGACTGCACCTACAGATGTAGCTATCGAAACTGTAAGAATGGAGAGATAAAGCCTATCCAGTGTTAACCTAGATGCTAGACGCTAGATGGACGATGACCCATGGTTTAGAGTCTAGCCCGTCTAGACACAAGTCTAGACAGTCTATATGATATACCGTACACTATACTATCGGTATATCTTTCTTGGCACACATGTTCCATAAAATATTAGATAATGCAGTGCTATGATAGGTCTAGCCACTCAAGTAAGCTGTGGGCCAAAGAGAGGTGGGAACAAGGTCTACGGTGATGACTAGTAGAGGAGAGACAACTTGACTTTGTCTCAGTGACTGGCTTAGAGTAGAGCAGAACTATATGGAACGACGTCAAAACCATAAACCATATGAGCTTTGGTCTGGGCTCGAAGTTTCAGCTCCTGTTACACAAAAAAATACATCGGCCTATTGCCTAGACCATAGTCTAAATGACAGTTCTACGGTCTACACTCGTCTGGATATTTCCTAATTGTGTGGTCAAGATAGTCTAGGGTCGTCTTTAACCACTAGATGGTCAAATGGTCCAATTCCCGGTTTAGGCCCTAAAGTAGACAATAACCCATCGTCTAGTATCTAGGTGCAGTCTAGACCATCTAGACTATGGTCTTGGCAAACAATGAGCCTATCACAAAACCAGAATATACAAGGAACAAACCAAAGGATCACTGGTGGAGAATTGCTTTTTAGTCCCGGTTCGTAACCCCCTGTAGTCCTGGTTTTCAAACCGGGAGTAAAAATCTTACCAACCAGGACTAAAGATCTCCCTTTTAGTCCCGGTTGGTAGCACCAACCGGGACTAAAGAGACGATAGGGGCAGTCCCCGGCAGTCCATTTTCTTTTTATTTTCTCCCAAATCGAGTTGGATGTATATAACCAAATCAAACACCAAATCCCCAAATCTAAGTGGGATGCATATACCCAAATCCCCAAATCAATGTAACATCCCAAATCATTTACATCACAAATACAAATCCTAAATCTTACAAAACATCACAAATCTTAAACAAATTACACACAAATGAAATGTATCACAGATTGATTATACATCTCAGATCTATGCAATGAATCACAAATTGTAATATAAGAAATTATACATCTCTCAAATCACAAATTATTAAAAAAAAAAGGGGGAGAACCGGCGCGCTGCTGCACGCCTACCGCCGCTTGCCACGGCCGCCGTGCACTGCCCAGCCGGCCGCCGCCGCCGCGCGCTGCCCCGCCACCCGCCGCGTCGCGCGCGGCCCCGGCGCCCACCACGCTGGTCGTGGCCCCGCCGCCCGCCGACGCCGGCGTCGGATGTGAGGAGGAGAGGGGAGGAGGAGGAAGGGGAGGAGAGGAGAGGAAGGAGCTATATCTCATAGATAGGAGGAGAATCTGATGAGGAGGAAGTTGGTCTGCGACTTAACCGATTAGATGTGGGAGAGAAATATTTACTCCCGGTTGGAGTTTTTAACCGGGACTAAAGATATATCTTTAGTCATTGTTAATAACACCAACCGGGAATAAAGATCTAAATGATCTTTACTCCCGTTTGGTGTTACCAACCAGGGCTAAAGTGGTAAGATCCTCAGCCCCCTAACATGCCTTTGACAGGCCATGTAGTCCCAGTTGGTGACTAAAGATTAAAATCTTTATAACCGAGACTAAAAATAATCTTTAGTCCCGGTTCTTTTTGAAACCGGGACTATTGTGGAATTTGCCAGACCGACCAAAGATGGTTTCTCCACCAGTGGATGGCATGACAGGTGAATCAAAGTCAACGAGTTTGAACCAGGAAACAAGGTGTTGTAGTTCAGCTCTAGGGCAAAGCTCTTCGGTCACGGGAAATTTCGGAGCAAATGGCTAGAACCGTACACCGTCATCGATATTTGCCACACGGAGCGGTCAAGCTGCAGGATAACGAAGGTAGCATTTTTAAGGTAAATGGCCATCGTTTAAAAGTTTTCCTAGAACCAGTAAAGGGGTTGGGGCAGGATGCAGATTTTATAGAGTTGGTCAATTTTAATATGTATCCTATGTCTACATATTTTGCCACACGGAGCGGTCAAGCTGCAGGATAACGAAGGTAGTATTTTTAAGGTAAATGGCCATCGTTTTAAAGTTTTCCTAGAACCAGTAAAGGGGTTGGGGCAGGATGCAGACTTTATAGAGTTGGTCAATTTTAATATGTATCCTATGTGTCTACTGAGCTATACTTGGACTTAGTCCAGCCCAGCACCTTGCCTGAGCCTGGCTAGCCTGGCGACCAGAACGGTTCGACTGAAACCATGGTTTGGCCGAACCAGTTCTGGCTCTGCCAGCGCTGGCCTGCTGCTCAAGAGGAAAAAGACAACGATCGTGATCTCCATTTTTGAAATCCATTCCACCGTGGCTGTCAATTTTTTTAGGGAACCAGGCGCTAGATTGGTAGTTTCCTCTTCTTTTTTTTTTACATAGGAAATAAACTAGCAAGTGGTGGTTTGTTATGCTTCTAATGAAACTGTTGTCCACTTGCATATCTATTTTGGATGGACTGAGGATAAACGACAAATAAAAATAATGGACACCTAAAAACTAATATTAGATTAAAAAAAGACGCTTGAGATTTGTCCACACCACCTTGAGTAAAAATAATTTGTACATGGACAAATATCCTACTAACATTTCTGAATTCAACGTAATTTCCAAGTTTCATATCGCAAAATTTAAATTGATAGCACTCTCGATTTAGTCATAACGAGCGACCCCTATCAGCAGCAATTCAGATATGTGTTAACTTGAAGAATCTAATCTATTAAGTAAGTAGGGAAAATATTCCTATCATCTATGCTTCAAATAAAATTTTCTTATAAATTACTCATCCGATTTACAATCCGATTACACCGTTATGTTCGTAACAATTAATCTTTACAATAAGATCTCAGATGATTATATTTTGATGAAAAATCACAAATTACTTTTATGATATGTCTAAATTACTTTTAGATTTCACTAAGTTACTTCTTAAACATATAAAAATAAATTCAGTAAAATCTAAAAGTAATTTACATATATTATAGAAGTAACTTAGAACAAAACGGAGGCAACTTTGGCATGTTATTTGAAGTAAATCCATTGTAGAGATAAAAACATAACTCTATCTGAAATTAAATTAATCAGCACAAATTATGGAATTAACTAAAAACAATAATAAAAGTAATCACCTCAAAGCATTATGAATGTATAGGAAGTATTTGAATCAAATCTAAAAGTAACTTATATATATGACAATTTGTTCAATAAAGAAAGGCATTAATTAAAGTTACTTTCTTTATAACTTCTTTTTTAACACTTACTTATATAATATATATATATATATATATATATATATATATATATATATATGTAAATTACTTTTAGGTTTTATTGAATTTACTTTAATATGTCTAAGAAGTAATTTAGTGAAATCTAAAAATAATTTAGATATATTATAAAAGTAATTTATTATTTTTCATCAAAATATAATCATGTGAGATCTTCTTATAAAGATTTAGTTGTTACAAATACAACAGTGTAATCGGATCGTAGATCGGATGAGTAGTTTAAGAGAAAATTATATTTGAAGTATAGGTGGAAGGTGTCTCTTGTATTAGACAAACCAGCTAGAACTAGCTGTGTAATTACATCCGTTTCATATATAAGGAATTTATCCTTTACCCCTATCGTTGGCCTTTTAGACCTTCTCCGGCTTGCATAGTTGCATGCGACTAGAGCATACGAACCCCCTTTTTTTAGAAACGCATACGAACCTTTTGAGCAAAAGGTTCCAACTGTCATAATCCGACAAACGAAATTACCATAAGAATGAGTAGGATTTGTCCACATATAATCGCCAAGTACATACAATAAGACAGAAAATCGATGAGCAGCTATACAAAAAGGTTAAGTCTACTCTCGACTAAATAAGAGTTAAGACTCCAAATGCTTGCTGCGTAATTGTCAACTCGTAACCAAATGGGAGTTAGGATGAAAAAAAAAAAACAACCCTACTCATTCTTAGCTATCGTAAGCTGGATCAGAACGGGAGCTCACCGGACATGCTAATATAGCCGATATGCTCTCTTGTCCAAAGCACCTGCAAAACTCATCTGCTTACCAACTCATTTCTTAGTTGGACTTGTGTCACCAAACTTTGGTAGTGCCAACAATGTGTTCAATCGAGTGAAACCATCCAAGGACCTCTCATCTCCGCTTACGTTTGAGTCACTACCATCATCGACGTCGTCAGGAGTAACCCTTTTACTATTGGGCCGGGTAATACCTGATAGGGCAGGCATCCTTGGACTATATCCAGGTTGCCCTGATAAACCACCGGTAACTTCATACTTGTTCAGGAAAAGACAGACCACTGCACAATCATCAGTTTTTGAGGTTGGGTATTTGAACCTCCAAGTCTCATTTGCTAAATCAACAACAGAACGAGCTGCAGCGAAACGACCAGAGCATGAGGCAACAACATCCACCACTTCCTGGTTGGAGAGAACATCCCACACCTGTAGGCAATGTAAAATAATAGTGTATCAGAGCCAGCCAAGACAAAACAGTCCAACGATTTTAAATTGGGAAGTACATATTTTGATTAAGAACTATTTCTTCTCTTTGAAGAAGCCACTTAGAAAATAATTGTTAATCATTTTTTGTTACCTACCCCATCTGTCGCCAGGACAATAAACTCGTCTTTTTCAGTAATTTGCCTATAGGTGACATCAGGTACTGAGATCAACCCAAAATCCTTTAGACAAAAGTCACCAAAAGCTCGGGCCATTGCCAGTCCAGGAGAGTTGCAATTAGGAAGCCAAAGGCGAGCCACATCTGGTTCATCCTGATGAGCAAAGACCCTCCCATTACACCGTCTGATCCTCCTAGCCTCCCCTGGAAAGAATATCATTATGTTATTATTTTCAAGATTATGCTCAAAATTGTATTTATTTAGACTGGAGCAAGGTGACAATTCCCAACAGACTAACGGCTGAAAAAAATTCACAAGAAAAATGTGCTGGCCTAGCAAGATGTCCTAGAGTTTATTTTTGATAACTAAGATGTAAAAGTACATGCAAAACATATAGCTAAAGTAGAAGCACAGAACCATAGTCTCATCAGAATAGCTGTTCTGATGGATGATGAGTCAACAAGATATAATACATCAAATAACCATACAACACAGAACTTGCTGTGAAAGGAATTGATACATAACATGGAAAGAAACAAGCTAACTACTGCACAATCTTTGTGCATGATAATTTAATTTTAAATCATCTGTCCAAGAGAACAAAAGTTTATAAACATAGGGTAACAAGAATACGAGTCACAGTAGATAGCTTTGAATTTATAATCGGTGTTTGAATTCTTGAATTTCTTTCTTGAAGAATGAGTGCTGAAGATTGCATCTCCTGAAGATGGTAAATCTACTACTACAGTTTACAGATCATACAGAGAAAAACGACTAATGAGGATGGGCAAAACATAAGCAGTAATCACTCACTGTAAAATTAATTAAAATATGTGATTTAAGTTGAACATACTCTGTTTTTCTACCATATATCATTCCATCCTTATGTGCGATGAACAACATCAATTACAGTTGTTACCACCTTATATTCTTATTCTATGCTTGCATCTTCTTAAGCATTGATTCACTTCATCAACTTATTCAGTCTTCATATCGTATTTTGGTGTCTTTCATTCTAATAAAACCATGTTACGGCCGGGCAAGGTTTCATTGGCAATAAACTCTACTGGGAGGATAGTAGTGCATTCAGCTGCTAGGGATTTGAGGAGGAATATAAGCTGAGGTGATGAACTGGGCAATTTATAGATTGTTCTTCATTGCTCGATCTTATACATTTGCCGAGTACCCTTATACAGACTGGCACCTAATAATCCAATCTAATATAATCCCCTAGCTCTGGAAACCTCCTCTGACATGGTAATAGTGTGTGCCTATTGTCCTTCATGCTCACAACACGTGTACCCTGGTTGACCACGCCTTCCTCTTGGGCTTGGTCATGGGCCTCAGTCTCCTGGCCCAAGGCCCATGACAAGTCAGCATGTTAAAGATGCTGCACTGGTTACATTCTATTTCACAGGCTTAACGTTATCAATATGATATTATGAACATAATATGATGATTCACGATAATTGTGCTTACTGCCAACGACTATCTAAAGGTACAAATATCATAGAGTAAATTGCATTTTAGCATCTTCTTTTACCATAATAATTTCAGCTTGAAATAGGGGCTACCCACTCTTCTCACTTTGGGCTAGGAATTCTTGTAAGAAGTTGCACTCTGGACCTGTGTTCTTCTTCCTTGAGTTCTCCTTCCCCTTTCTGTCCACCATCATGGTGGGGCAGAAGTTTCATCCCATGAGCTGACGCAAACAGGAGATGCTCACCATCACGTTGAGGCTCAAACCAAAACAGGAGAGAGAGGAGTGGGAGGAAGAACATGAGAGAGAGAGAGAGAGAGCAGGGGAGAGGAAGAACAGGTCTAGGAGGAGAAAAAAAAACAACACCTTGCAAGTATTCCTAGCTCAAAGTGAAAAGAGTGGTTAGCCCCTAGTCCAAACTGCAACCATGGCAAAAAATGGTGGTCTAGTATGCGATTTACTCAATATCATATTTACACATTATCAGTTTAGCACAAGCAGGTACAAAACAAAGTACTGTAGGTAGCAAAATACCTATGGAAGAGATCATTTTATCTTTTTTGTTTTAAATTATTAGTAACTGACCATACATACACACCATTAATTGGTAGTTAGAGCATCCTAAAATTTAACTCCTAAAAATCTTGGATTGGGACCATCCGAAAAGAAATTGGGCCCAAAAATCACCTCCGACTCCAAGAGTGCGCCTAAATTTGGTTTGCAATAATAATATGCCACATCATCTTAAGTAGATCCTGCTTCAACCTTTTGTCTTTCCATTTTTCCAGTAAGAGGGAGATCGGAGCTGGGTGCTGCCAACCAATGGCACGCTAGCTGCTCAGCTATGCTGTGCAGGAGGGTGATCTTGCGCGTACCTAGCAGCTGCGGCAGCAGACGGCGAGGTCATTGACAAGTCTGCAAGGCACGTTGTGGGGGGCAAGGCCAGGGCTTGGCCATCTCGCGTCAGGGCACGACAGGGGAAGAAAAGGCGCGAGCAGCAAAAACCTCCCGATTTCATCAATTGGGAGTGCGTGGAGGTGTCCAAAATTGGTTCAGATCGGTTCTGGTTTAGGGTGTCGGTAAATATTGGGACCTTCTTTGGGCATCTCTTGGAGACATGGTTTTAGACTAGATTCCTAAAATTTATCTTTTGGAGCTGGCATTAGGGAACTCTTGGAGATGCTCTTACAGATGACTTTAATGGCAAATAGCAGTTACAGTGATTTAATCTTGTAACACAAGATTCGCTATTAAAATATCGGTACAAAATGTAAACTTTTACTCTTGGTAGATCCCTAGCAACAGAATGTTTCCTTCAGCAATATGGGTATGCCAATACAACATTTCATAAAAAAAGTTAATATGGTATTTTTAGATAACTAATAGAAATGGCAATAACAAGACAGCGGTCATCTTTCTTGACATCCATGCCATCTGGAGAAGATGAACCGGCCAAGCTGTCAGTTCACCGGTTCCTGATTAAGTCATGGTAAAGGGTGACTGACTTAAACCTCTAGACCAAGGGTCAAATCACACCCTTGGGCCTTAAGGTATAAATAGACCTTTGTTCAGCCTTACACTCTTCTCTCTCCAGCCAGTCCAACTAGTCCCAGTTTAATGCTTTGCATACCTCGAAACCAGGCGGTGTAAACTGGTACAAATGCACGAATGATCTTTGGACACAATTGAATCAATGAGCTGGTTCCGGTTCTTTTTGGTTAAACCGCAGGTATGATCTGGTTTTTTCCACTAGGATCACAGTAAGGCCACTGTAAGGGATGTCAATGTGTACCATAGTCCTATCAGACCCTGCTGGAGGCTTCTGAGTCACTGAACATGCTGCCTCTATTCTCCATTGATGGTGTCAACTATTTTGCTTTCATTGTGCAAATGCTACTGTTGTACTTTGTGGTGTCTAGTATTTGAGAAGGACCTATCTGGAATGTATAGAAATGGAACAAGGGCAGCATCTAGAAAAGCCAAGTTTTCACTACTAAGCATTGTACAAGGCGCAGCACGACTACCACCCGGCGACCTATCTAGCATCTGAGGGGTAAACACTAGACAGGAGGGAGCATAAAATTAAGCCAAGTGTTCACACATTGCATAATATTAAGCTGATTTGCATGTGCTAAACAACATATGAGTTGTTGAGATCTATCAACGGGGCTAATGGTCTTAGTGTTGCTGCTATAAGAAAAAGTCTGCAGTGAGTCTACCAAGGTGGGTTGAGATTCTTTTCATTGGCAGCGTGGCAGGTTGAACACTCAAATAAATCAAAGACAGTGTATACTTTTTGCTCAATATTTATCTTGGAAAAAGGAAATGCAAGGGAACACTTTAGCCTAATATCACCATAAAAACATCCAAGTTGAACTTGCTCAATGCATCATGTCTTAGAAGAGAAAATACAGAAGATTAAAGTAACTTAAAGTTAGGAGTGAAAGAGATTACTTGGATGATCAGGTTTCAGGTCAACAGTCAACTGATGAGCAACCAACTTATCGTTCTGATCTCTGGTGCCTAATACAGCTCTAGAGTCACCTAGATTCCCAACAATAAGATCATGACCCTGATGGCATAGACACGATTTTAGATAGTCTGCATATGAAATTCTTAAGTAATAGTAAATATATTTTGTTACATCAAAAAGAGGAAACTGCTTACTTGCTTGATTAAAGTAACTGCAGTAGTTCCACTGCAAATGCTATCAATGTTCCGTTGTAATTTGAGCTCCTTATCCACATTTTTAAAAGCCTTTCTGAAAGATTCTTTCATTGCGTTGAAGAATTCTTGATGTTCTTTTTGTCCAGCCAATGTGGGAGATCTGCACTCTGCATCTGCATACGGAGATAAATTCTCTTCCAGAGTTGAGACATCTGAATTGCTGGTTGGACTATCCCCACAGTCTTCATATATCAAATCACAGAGTCTCGAAGGGAGAATATCTCTTACTTTCCTAGCAATGAGATGGCCATGTGGACCGTGGCCATCAAAAACTCCACAAAATACCGTGTCTGATCTTCCGTTATAGTTCTGTCCATTGTTCCATAGTGTTCACAGGGTGTTAATAGTACACATAATGAGAAGACATAAGAAAGATGTAACAGAAGTGTTGAAGGAGACACTCATTCATGATACTTAGAGAACATGTAATTAATCCATTTAAAGGTTAGAGAGCAAAAGTTGGGACTTGGAGTTGTTAGAAAGAAAAGGTAGAATTCAAAATAACGCCATTCATTTGATTTATATATACAGCTCACCAATGGTACCAGATAAGTAACATTTTGTTGCTGCCCTTTCTGCGAGCATTTTATCAGGCATAGACCATTACATCAGAAATATAAGTTGAGGGCCAAAAATATTATAAACAAGCTATTTGTATTAGTGAACAACGTAAAATAACAGAAACAAATCGATAAACTACAGCAAACAAAGATAATGTAGATTTACCTTCATCGCTTGGTAACATAAAAAATGTTCATTTGAAAAATTACAAAGGCAAACAACAGTTTAAATTTTCTTGTAAATTATTGAGGCATCAGAAATTTTCTTTTTCGTTAGAAAGAATCAACTCAATTGCCACTACACATAGGTAATACTACGAAATCTGCTGAACCTTTCCCCGCAAAAAAAAAGATAAGGAAAGAAGAAATCTGCTGAACTTACAAGTAATCCATGCAAGTTAGATCCGTTTGCCAATTAAACAAAGAAAAAAGCTCACGTTTACAACTGAAAAGTGGACGAGCAGTGAACAAAAGAAGAAAGGGATTCGAGATCTTGGGGTCCAGATACCTCCCACGCGACCATGGCATCCTGGTTGGTGCCCTTCTTCCCCTGCCGAGTGAACAGGCAGGCCACATTCCCCGCGCCGTTACCCGCGATCCTGCCGGGCGCCTCCTCGTCACTCCTCCTGCCCCCTCCTCCCTTCACCGACGCAGCCGGCACCTCCATGGCCCGCTGCTCCGCCGTCGTAAGGCATGTCCCCATCGACAGCGCCCGAACCACATCCTGCAGACAATCCAGGCACCCGCCTCCCCCACCCTCCGACGGCGACGGCGCCGTCGCCACCGGTGCCGCCGTTATCGCCGCCGTCTTGGCTCCTCTCTGGTACAGCCCAGCCTACAAGAAGCCCCGCCCACCGCCGTCCGCCCCACTGCAATCCAATCCAATGTCTCCAAGGATTTTCGACCCTTCCACACCGCTAACCCCAACTAGCTCGATCCCCCAAGATTCGATCTCTGGAAGAACGGAGGGGCGGTGGCGTTTCTTGATCGCGTCATGGGCAGCAAGGCCGACGATGACACGTCAGGAGGAAGACAGCAAGGAAAAGGGAAAAAGGAATGGGACGGGACAAGAATAGGGAATCCAGAAACGAAAAAATAGCACGGAGCAACAAGCGGCTCTGCGTGATTGGGCTTTCCTTTTTTCTGCTCCGGAAACTGGCTTTCACAAATGCACCATCCTAAATTAGTTGTCTTTCTACCATTCAAATTTTATCCCACAATACTCGTCACTCCTAAATACTACTTGTTCCATCAATTATATCTCATTCAAATTTCTTCATATTCTATCCCTCAACCACCCTTCTATCCTTAACCATAAAATATTTTATAAGGGTATTGTAGTCTTTTTCTAAACCTTAAAATATGCCAAACAACCTTAAAAAACAATTAATTTGAGACAAAAGTAGTAGTTTTTAGTATGACAAAGTGACAGTCCACGTACAATGCACATTATAACCTTATAAAAATAAAGAAATGTGTATATACATTTTAGCAGGGAGGATTGATAATAATAGTTAAGTTGGTCGAAGTATGCAGCGAACATATTCCAGAATTTTCTATAAATTCACAATACTCGTCACTCCTAAATACTACTTGTCCCATCAATCATATCCCATTCAAATTTCTTCCTATTCTACCCCTCAACCACCCTTATATCCTTAACCATAAAATATTTTATAAGGGTATTGTAGTCTTTTTGTTCTAAACCTTAAAATATGCCAAACAACCTTAAAAAACAATTAATTTGAGACGAAGGTAGTAGTTTTTGTATGACAGAGTGACAGACCACGTATAATATACATTATAACCTTATAAAAAGAAAGAAACGTGCATATACATTTTAGTAGGGAGGATTGTTAATAGTAGTTAAGTTAGCCGAAGTATGCAGTGAACATATCCCAGAATTTTCTATAAATAACACATACCTATTCACATACCGAATTATTATTATATGATACAACCATAGAAAAAAAAATCTACAAAGTATAAATGAAAGCAATAAGATTTTTGGGGCATGATATGAATGCGACAGTCATTAATTAATTTTTAATGTGACCCCGCAAATTTCTTTTTAGTTGACACATTTATACGTGAACAAAGTCAAAATTTAAAATTTATATAGATATCTTCACACTACTACAATTACTTTCTACCACTAGTTGGTTACCCGTGCGTTGCAACGGGAGGAAAGTAAAATGATGTTAAATAAATATCAAGCATATGCTATGCTTACTATATGAAAATTTTAATACATACATAATACTTGTATCACATTTTATAGTTTCCAAATAGTATTAAGTAACGAGAAAAACGAAAATTATTGTATAAAACATCAATCATGGTAGGAAATAAAATAATGCCGCTTTAGTGCTAATGCCAATACTTGAGTTAGCAAAACGAACTTGTAACATGCGTCGAGACGTTCACGTATAGGGAAGAACAAAAATAATAATTCCACAAGGGTGCTAATCGCATTTGCTAATTAATTAGCTGATCTTGACCATATATAACTGCCTCAATTTCTTCTCCCTGGCACATCAGGGCAGCAGCACCCATGTAAGGTTTGGGCATTAATTACCCACCAATTTCATTCCACATACGCTACATGCTTAATTATTTGATAAGATCGAGCGCAGTAGAAGCCTCAATTTACCAAAATCAGTAAATCAGTGAAGGACATAGCAAAGAAACATTATTCAGTACATAATACTGGTAGGACGCAAGCACCAACGTGAAACAATCAAACTGGTCTGGTGATTAATATGCCCAGCAAAGCTTTGTTATCAAAAGCTCTCATCAAGCAAGATCAACAATCTCGATAAGCATTACGTGCGTGATACTGCCAATCAGATCTTGCATTCAATCAAGCTACTTCACGTTTAGCTCATGGAAAATGTCAATTTAAATAGAAAAAATATCCTTTTTTTTCTATTAACTCAAAATGGAACTCTCGCAAGTTTTAATTTCCCTCAATTGATTGCCCAGGTCAGGAACCCTGCCTGCCTGCATGCACTTTGATCATCAAATTTGATTGCAGGCACTACTATGTCAAAAATTTTCCACCTGAAAGAAAACCACAAAAATTCAGTTACCTAAGTATATTTGACCAACATGATGCATTCATATTGTTCCCTTACTGAACATGGGCAAATTTGATCAGGTAAGCATTGTAAACCAGCTTGGCATGAATTGGCATGAAGGGTGAATAACAGGATGAGGACCTGAAATGAGAATCTTCCTCTCATTAGAAATTTCTTAGATGTAAGCAAAGATTAGGACCTGAAACACAAATGAAATATCTTAAATTGCAATCTTTCAATTCCCACTCTGCAGAGATGAAATAGTAAAGAAAACATAGAAATGTGCAGGTACTTTGGAACAATTACTGATACAACTAATTAATCAGATCATTTATCCAATGATGAATCCAACTGCAACCCAATTAATTTTGTATCGAAGCCCACGACCTCCAACACAGTTACACAGGTCCCCTTGCTCGTTCCCTATATTACACAGATCCCCTTGTTCCCAGATCAAGCGAACAGCTAAGATGATTAGTAAAATCTAAAAATTAAAAGAGGGACAAATGTAGCACGAAATAGGCATAAAAATAAATATTTTGAGCTGAAATTGGATAAACATGAAATGGACAGCCGTAAGAGCCATACTACAAAACAATTATGACCTCCCCACCAAAGCACTGGCTGCTGCAGTACTGCCACAACCTGCAGTCCTTAATAGAGCGCCCAACACTTGGTCATTGCCGCTGCCCTGCATGCGCCTCAGTCGCCAACTCCCAAGTCCCAACCCGTGATCAAGTTCATTGAACCAGCAAGATCAGCAAAGGTAATTCTGCTACTTCGTGAGCTGCTGAAGCCATTTGATGAGAAACCATGTTACAAAAGCAGAACAATCAAACATCCATATAAATTCAAGACATTTTATGTGAATTGAGCTTACTATATTGAAAACAAAATAGTTTTAATAGTACAGAAACTGCATTTATCATGGTAGTGAAATATCATCTGAAACACTACTGCAAACTGGTAGCGCTAGCTTGATTGGTCAGATTTTTCAATCTGCGATGTTGGTAATTTGGGTGCACTGGCCTTCGTCCAAATGGTTTTTTATTTTTTTTTTTGGGGGGGGGGGGGGCGGGGGGGTGTGGAGGGTGCAGCTGGGAGGCCCGGGTGGCGTCGTGGATGGGGAACGGCAGGTGAGCAACGGGGATGCGACAGCGGCGGTGTGGATGGGGAACGACAGGTGAGCGACAGGCCTGTGGCAGCTTGGAGCGGCAGGGGGTAGCATTGAGGAGAGAGTGGTTGTTTGAGAGAGAGTAGGCGGAGGAACAACAACGAATACACACGGAATAATACGGTGGAGCGCTATCCGAAGGAGTCTGGATCGTTGATTGTGCGGGAGGATCCTCGGATGGATATCAGCCCTTCAATCTTTCAGGACTCACCACCACCACTACAAGTTTTTTAAGTAGTAAAGATTCAGATCACATGCAACAAATATTGAGTGAAAATACTACTTTTCAATCCCAACTATCATCCAACGAAATATTTCGAGTAAGTAGACCACAATATCTGCATTGTACATAGTTTATTTTTTCCGTAACACGGCTTTTGAATTTAAGGGTAACATATGTTCATCAAAACATATCATTGGACTTGACCATTTATAGCATTCCATTCAGCTCTCTATCCAATTAGGTACTAAACTCTATATCTGGAAACATGTAAGTCGGGCATGTTTGACAAGTTCTCTAGCCACCGAAGCCCTAGTGACCTTTGTTTCATGAAAATAAAATCTCTGACCTAAAGGAAATAAACTCTCCACCACCAAGTAGTAAACATTCAGTAAATAAAGGAAGTAAAATCACGTAGCAAAAGTATCGTTAAGGAGATAGATAGGCACGTCAGTAAATCACTTAAAGAGACAACATTAATTACCAATACCCATTGATTTTTAGTATAAATAATTATTTATTTGTCACATGCGTAAAACAGAAAATGCCAGGCATACTGGAAAAAAAATGCTATTATGCATATCTAAGGGTAGTAGAACACTTTTTTTGTGAATATAAAGGATTGATCTATTAATCTACAGATTCATGTGTGTCTCAGATGCTCAGTCATGTAGTGTGTCCAATTTCCTTAGTGATTATAGCGTTAAAATGCGATCAAAGTAGGATAATAGATTCTTTCATAATACAAAGATGTACATTAACCTCCTGTTAAACCAGGTGTAATACTTTATTATTTTTATACCTTAATAATATCCTTTAACTGTGGGAGTTTCCCCTACAGTGCTTTCCCCTAAAAAAAAGATGTACATGCATTGGCATACATCTGAGCAATCAAAATTTTGAATTCTCAAACAGAATAAGATATGAGCCTACATCTTATCCATTATATTCCAGGAAACAGTCCAAGAATCTTTAAATTGAACACAAAGGTCTGAGCATCCACAATATCCTACTAAATTAAAAGGGTTGTGAGCATATGATACTTACACGCAAGGATCTTGTAATGCTTAGATCAAAACTCAACCTGTCGTTGACCTTCCTCAATAGTTGGAACATTCTGAAATGAACAGAAATTAAATAATGTATCCGAGCAAATCGACCATTATAAACAATTATCAACTGAATGTAATAATTGCATTTGAAATAAGTAGAATTACGCTATAAATCATATGAATAATAGTTATCGAAGTTCATTTTAAGATTAGTTCTTCAACTGTTCTTTACAGTCTGCGAATTGAGAATATCTCACAAAGGGAACGGTATCATATATAGGCAGCACTGTGATTAAATCTTCATTGCCTAGTCATTTTTCAAAGAAATTCAGTCATGGGATGCAATGTGTCCAACTTACTTTTTTTTGGATTTGTAAAACTACCTCTGTGATTTGCAACAACATTTCGTTGTGCCATGTCAGCAAAAATATATATTACAAAGACTGCTTGTCCATGAATCCAAAATAATCATTTCACAAAGTTTTTTTTTTGTTAGCAGATTGGTGTCTGGACAACTGAATTTGTATTAATTGTGAAGTAATTTTTTTAGCAGATTTGTACAAAGCATAGAACATACCTATGCCTGATGTCCGGTTGCAAGAACAAATTGACATTGACAGTGAGGATGGAATAAGGGGACTGGCTAATTTGATCAGTGGGAATGGTCGAAGCCGAACTCCTTGTGGACACCACACTTGCAGGTCACACAGACCACCAGGTCGCCACCAGCGAGGTCAGCCTGGGTGCCTCTCTCTCCGCGCTCGACACCTCAACCTCTTGCTCCTGAAAGGTACAAAATGTTCAGTCCAACCAAACGCTGCAAGTCTGCACCTATCAATACTAAAGAAGGATCATCTGATGTAACCAAGCAATACCTGATGGCGAGGCGACGGAGACCGGCCGAGGGATGAAAGGCGACTGGACGGTGATCAGGATGTGCAGCGGCGCCGGTATGGGGTCGATTGCGGCGGTTAGGGGAACCGGCGGCCGGCGATCTCCGACGGGCATGGAGCGACGGGCGGATGGCCGGCGAGGTTGGAAGGGGAGGGGGTCGACGATGGTTAGGGGAGGGATGGGGGCGGCGCAGAGTAGATCGTTGCGATGGGCGGAGGGGCGCCGCGGAGGAGATCGGCGCGAGGGGCGGAGGCGCGCGAGCAGTGGGGGCGGCGGCGAAGGGAGCGGGAAGCGTGGGTTGGAAGGCGGCCGCGACGGAGGGCGGAGAAAGGGGAGGGGCCGCGCGTGCGACGGAGCGCGGATGCAGCGCGATGCGAGCGCGGATGGGGCATCTGAGCGTTGATTTGGTGGGAGGATCCCAAACTCACCACAAGCACTATGGGAGGATACCAAACTCACCACAAGCACTACGGAATTTTAAGTAGTAGAGATTCATTCCGTGATATTCTCTTGACTCCTCGTACTCTAGTCAATTACTCAGAAAAATATTTTTAGAATGATGTCCTGACTAAAAATATAACATTATGGATGCATAAGCCTTAAAATGTATTGCTCCTTCAAGCATCATTGCTTCTCATTTCTTTGTTGCCATTTCTGGCAATATGAAGAAACAATCCAACAAAGAAAGGATACAGCAGAATAGTGTCACAACCATGAACTATTGAACTATGAAAGACATAATTAGTAGGGCAAAATTAATAATGTTCACTTTACACTTCTACATATTGTAATGACTTGAAGAATCCTAGACAACATATGCCAAATTTCATGAAACGGTTGTATGAATGAAAATAAATAAGCAGTAGGTCATCTAATCACCCTTAGGCTTGCGCTCGGAACCATGTGTTCCCAACTTCTCCTTCTCGTTTCTTGCGCGCACACTTTTTAAACTCCTAAACGGTGTGTTTTTTGCAAAAAAGAAAGTCTTTATACGAAAGTTGTTTAAAAAATCATATTGATCCATTTTTGAAAAAAAAATTACAAATACTTAATTAATGATACGCTAATAGACCACTCCGTTTTTCGTACGCACAGTCTGGAACACAGGGTTCCGAAGGCAGCCTAGTCCTAGCTTTGCCGCAGCCAGCCAGCTAGAGCAGATTTTAGCTCCGGCTGACCAATTAGTTTGCGGCGCATCACTAAGCAAGATTTTGTACGACGGTAGTTACCAGGATCTTTTTTTTGGGTCGTTCGATCCCACATCTGGAACCCATCTATCCGTCCGTGTCTCAGCTTTGCACGGCCTTACCAAGTTGTGGGATCGGTGGACGCAGACCCCTCCGCATCTCTCCTTCCCCTCCCACCCATGGCTCCCTCCTCCTCCGACTCCGAGGAGTACGGAGCTCCCCGTCGCCCCTTCTCCCTCCCACCTGCGTGTCCCGCCGGCCTCCTCGGACCTAGCATTTGCTTTGCTCCTCCTAATCCCTAGCACCCCTTCCTCCACCCACCCGCCGCCGCCGCTTCATTCACCCCTATCACCGGTGCCGAAGACAATGTAGCGGTTGGTTCATGTGCAGCTCATCCGCTCAGAGTCAATACCCTTATGGCCTTCATCGACAGATCCGCTGCAGTTGGCCTCGCGTGCGATGCATGCCGTTAGGACTAGGGGCCTTGTGTTTTCCTAATTTCCTCGCCCGCTCGATTGTTATTAGCCTCGCGTGTGGTGTGTGCAGTGTGCCTGCCATGGGGATGGGCACTACAAAGCCCAGGGCAAGCAGGCAACATAGAAGCACCAACAATGGACACCAATTGTAGTCTTGTTGTTTGTCTGTTACAGATTATTACTAACTAGCCATCAACCCATGCGTTGCACGGGCTCTTTATTTATATCATCATAAATATTAAAATTTTAGTTATGTATAAATATATGGTCTTTTCTAATTACAATGGCTCTTAGATTATATTAAAATAAGAGTTTTTATGAAATATACATTGTTAAATATTGATTCCTAATCAATAGAATACTTAAAACGATAAAATTCATATTTTTTAATTCATTTTGAGTATGACTTCCAATGGCATATTTTCTTAATACAATGTCCCAATATACTATTATTAGATTAATAATACATAAAACAATTTTAGTCATGTTTATCCCTCAACATTGATTAAAAGAAAAGTACTTCATCTGAATTTGTTGGAGGAATGATGTATTTTTCTGAAGTAATGAATATCAATGAAAACATAAATTGTTCAACTGGATGAAGCATGCAACAGATTATAGTGATATAGGATGATACACATATATATACTTATTTATCGTGAGAACATGGCATAATAAAGGATCAAAATCAAATAACATATAGTATTAACATATAGTAAGAGGAAACCATGTACTACGTATAAATATTAATGGATTAGTTCTAGGAGCCAAATCAAGAACTCTGCTGTACTGTCCTACCATAATGTTAATATGGATTGGTTCCGTGTCCAATAATTTTTCATTGTGTGCCATGTTAGGATAAAGTAGGATCAGCAAAATGCATGGAATTATTCTTTTTTCCATGGTTTTGGAAAATAGGGACGAAAATAAACCATGTTTCACTGCACACCATTTGTCTTTTTCATGCATGCATGTATATTACTGAAGCAACGCATGCATATCTATTACTATTTTCCACCCATGCATTATTATCGAAAAAAACTGCACATGCATAACTATTGTTTTTTTCCATGCCCTTTGCCTTTGCATGACCACCTGTATAACACAAAATTTCTGATGAATCAACTAAATAATATAATTATGCATCTATTTGCCAATATCGGGTGGAGGTTCTCTAATAGATTTCAGTAGTTAGGGGATCTTTTTCTTCTGTTGGTGTCAATTAGTTTGTGTTTGCTTAGCTTTGTTTTTGCTATCGTAAACTTTCTGTGTGAGTTCTGTAATAATTGGCTGTAGCTCTTTGAGTAAAGGCCGGAATGTTACATTCCATTATAAAAAAAATCAACTAAATAATATACGGAGAGTTTTTTTTTGCGGGGATAGTTTAGGAAAGTCCGAACATATTTTTGAACATAAATATGAAAAAAGTTTTTAACAATATAATAATAAGGGTAGCAAATTCATATCACATAGGAAAAAAATACATTTTAAAACAAATATACTCCCTTCATCCACAAATATTTTTGATCCTAGACTTCAAATTCTATCCACAAATATAAGGATTTAAGAGTAGAACTTTGTAAAGCCACCTCTCATTTAATATTTTTCGATCAATCTTATCCCTAACCATCGTTCTACTGCCCCTTCACCCCTTTTTAAACTTTATCTTCATTTTTCCTTCATTCCTAATCTCTTGAAATCGCTTATATTTAAGGAGAGAGTGAATATATGAAGAATGGTAAAAGTAGATCAAATACAGATAAAAAGTTAGACTATGCAAATTGATGGAATACTTACATGAATAGTACATGCGGCGACCACTATGGATCTTCCTAAATGCCAGCGAATTTGTCAAAGCAAATAGATGGAAGACTTCTATGAATTATTATGGTACGATGACCATGGATTGGCTTGTCAGGTGCTAGCGAACTTGTTGATGCTGAATCAACATCTGAACATCAAAAATATATACAGTATGGTGATGATGTAGATTAATTCCTATTGGACGCTGTGACAGATGAGAAGTATGCATGTAAAGAGAATTGAACTGGAAATTAGAAGTTAGAATCAAACCTTAACAATGGAGAAAACAACAATTAGCATTCGGCTGACGTTGTGTGCTTTTCCGGCGCTCACCGGCCGCACGTCAACCTCGCCTTAGTGATTGTGTGCTGCTAGATCCGATAACGTTGATATATTCGCCTTTGCCGCGGCCGAGCGAGCAGAACATAACTGGCGTACGATGTGCTTGTATGTACTGTTTCCTCCTGCCTTTCTCCGTCGTTTGCCGCTGCCGGCCGGCGCGATGGCCATGCCGTGCCCTCCCGTATCTTCCACTGCATCTGATCAGATCGATCTCAGTAAATATGGATGGACTCATCGGTTTAGAAAAAGAAACAAATACCCACGTTCGAAAGAAAAAGGAAAAAGAATGCGTGCGTGAATGGATCATATCGATGGGCTTGACAATATAGGTTACATGGGCTTTAAAAGACCCACCGCGTGGAACTTGGATTAGATTGTAATCAACGGTTGACATATTATGGTTTGTTTAATCAATGGCTTGATCTTCCTGATTAACGTGAGAGCTCCAAAAAAGTGCCCGATTAGTATAGGTATAGATTTACTGAACCTCTTTTGCAAGGTTAGTTTACTGCCTCCATAGTTTTAGTCTTATTACCTTCTTTGTTTTTAAGACAAAGAGGCAACAGACTCCATATTTATTTATTTGAGAACTGGATGTACAACTAGTGTTGCATAACAGCTCCTTAAGCAAGGGTGAATTACATAGAGGTCCAGATTTAAGCATGGAAGGACAAAATAAAAGATCAAAAAAGCGATCAAGTATTCAAGTCTGTCTTCAAGCTGTGGCCACAACGATAGCCTCGATGATGTTCAAGACGACGGTGAGGAATACAAGCATGGAGATGTAACAGCCCTAGGCTCATAACCAGGTATTTAGAAGTGCATTTGTTGTCCTTTAGATTGCATATTTACTATATTGCAAATTAATCATACGCGATAACAAAATTAACTCTAATCGGTAAAATTGAAACCACTTCTATTTGAACAATAACTTGAACAGAAGTATACATGTTTAATAATTTATTCAAATACTAGGTTATTTATCACCAACAAATATAAATTTTGTGGAATTTTAGCTCTCCGTTTTGACCTCTTTAAAATTCAATTTAGTTCTCAGCATACCACTTTTTACCTTTTTGCTAGAATTAAAATATCTTGAATTTTTGAGTGTAACTTTGAAAAATGGAAACTAGGTAACTCAATCTATCTCCACACCTGAACACACATTTTTGACACTCGTGTAGCTAGGTCAAACTAATTACCCATGAATGAGAGAGTGAAAATTCCTGAAAATTCACTATTTTTAATGTGTACCTATGTTTCTAACTTTCCTTTATCTGCCCCATGGGTCCAGCTCGACTTGGCCCCACTTGTCACTGACTTCGGCTCTCCAACAAGCCCCATCCCACCTCCAGGTCGTGCACCCAACTCAGCTCCATATGACAAGCAGCTATGGAAACTCTTTCATCTTCTTCCCCTTTCTTTCTCCCTTGTCTGATCTTTTCTTTCTTGCAAGCTGAGCTCCCAGCTCACTTCTTCCCATCAAATCTCCTCCAAACACTTTGGATCCATCCCTGCATGTCACACCACTAAACCCCCATCACTCTAAGCTCCTCATCCATCCGAAAATCTCCCACATGCATGGATTCGTGAGAGAGATCGAGAAGAAGGAAGAACAAGCAACTTGCAGCCTATGAGGTTACAGCAGCAGGGAGAACTTATTTCCATTGATTTATGAGTTTCCCTCTCCATCCATGGCTCCCCTATGAGGTTCTCCATTGTGTTGGTCATCTCTAGTGCATTCCATAGGTCATCGATTCAAGATTTGGAGGCAAGTGGTAGCTGCAACTCGTCCCTCTCCATTGCAGGACAACCCTGAGATTCTTCGGTTTACTCTCTTGGTACGGCCTTTTCTTTTGTGTGTGTCACATTCTGTAGGAATGTGTTAACTCATATCTTGTAGGTTTAGAGTGCTCTCATGCATGTCTATCCACTGCACCCATTGGACCTCTATTAGATTGTGAAGTGAACCGAGCTCGTCTTTGGGTATTGTGGTTCCCACACTAACTAGAACCTTTTTTTTTAGCTACAAACAAGCTTTTGCTGAACCATCTAGCATGTTGCTAATTTCATATCCACATGTAATAGTTCAACCTACAGGTCCTGTAAAAGAATGCCACCACGAAAAGCCATCTCAAATGTTGGAAAAGCTAGCAATATTTACTGCTGCCCTAACCAAATTTTTCGTAGAAAATTCATCTGAACTCTGTTTGAGCTGAACCAAATTTCTGTGGATTAAGAAAAACGTGATCTTCAATGTTGTAAAATAAAAATGACCAACTTTTGTACTGGTTTTCCCAGTAAAAATATAAATAGCTATATGTATCCCTTGTGTGGTCTAGCTCTTATGAAATTCGTAAGAAATTATTGGTAAAAGCTAAAATTGTGAAACCAATTTTGTTGAGCTTATATTTTAGTACTCTTTGCTGTTATGGTGTTGTTTTTGGAAAAACTACCTCTTAAATCATGTTTAGGAGTTTATTTAGCATTCCTATGTTTCTAACTTGTAAGATCCATAAATAAATAATGACAACACATATAGCTGTGAAATAATTTTTCTTAGGAGCTGTGAGTGATGTACTTTACTCTAAAAATAATCATTATTATGAAATTTTGGTTTGAAATGAATTTTACTTGTAATGTACTAAAGGAAACGTTAATATTTACAGAATTGCCATTTTCAGCACCTGAGAGCTTGTCATTTTCATATCTCCCAAACCATAAGTGATAATCTGGTGATTATCTACCCACTGTATTTATTTCATAATTTATCGATCATTTTGCATATGCATGTTTATTTGGCTCTTATTCGCATATTGCTTCTTTTCGATAGATTCGGAGATTCCGGAGAGTAACGAGCCATATCCCAAGGAGGATAGTGACTACCCTCAGCAGCAAGGCAAGCACCTAAGCATATAGAACCTATACTTTCTCTAGAAATGATTTGGTTGCAATCTATACGTATATATATGCTTGCATTGCCTAGATATGAATATTGTTGGTTTATGGTGTATGTGTAGAACCTATTTATGCATTTAGTTCTTGTGTTATTGCTGTCCTTATATCCTATTACCACTGGTTGGGATTACTTGGGATTTCTTATTCATTAATGCTTAGCCATGCTTAGTGCTAATAGAACTATAGGGATGGACAGTGCTATTAATTGTGGTATATAAACAACTTGCATTATTGGGCATAAAACTTGAGCACTTACACTAAATAATGGTTGATGAAATATGTTGGACTTGGACGGGTGATAGGGCGATGATGGGAGGTTGGTTTCCCCTGATGCAAGTAGCCCCGTCTAGGTCATTAAGGACCGAACATTTTGACATCTATTTAAGCACCCTTCGTACTTACCACATGCCTTATTTGGGACCAGCTTGTTCTTACTAGTTCTACTGTGATCATTTATACCACGTTGGAGAGTCGTGAGGCAGGTAGCCTTTGGAGGGCCTCGGGTGCCTAGGTTTGGTCGGGGGTGCCTCCCGCGTGGCGCGCCCGCCTTGGTCACATCACGCACGCACGTGACTGAGTCATCGAGAACCCCAGCGTGGTATAGGTGGTTGGGGTGGGGCTAAGAAAGGGCATGTAATGAGCTTGAATCACTTGTGTACCGCACTCGACGGGGTGTGTAGCATTTGATCTTTGTTCATTTCGTGTGGGTCCAGTTGTACACCTCTGGTCAGAGTATAATCTATTCGAATAGCCGCGTCCTTAGTTATGGACAATGCTTGATGTGTTAGTCAGTTATGTTAGCATCAAATGTGGATTATTATGGATGGGATTATGTTTGATGGTGGTGTTGGCATGTTGTGCCATGTTGGTATGGACTTTGGTAGTCCATGGTTGATGATGAGAGCGCCGTTTTGGGCTCATTTGCTTATACATTTCAGAATTATATACTTGCTGTCCATAAATTAAAATGATGCTAGATTTACTTGTCCTTGCTTATTTTACTCATTAATTGCTCAATAAAATTAGCTTTATGCAAATGTTGAACCTAGAGACCCACTATAGGCTAGAAAGCTTGCATACTTCTCTCTCCCTTATGTATATATAATTTTGGGTAAGACTTGCGAGTACAATCTTGTACTTAACCCGATGTTTGCAATTTCAGGAGAGGATTCTGGTTATGAGTTATGTTTCTTGTGTGGTCATTGCTCTGCCGAGGGCGGCGAGGGCAATGAGTGATCTCTTGCAGCTTGGCTCTTGCTCGGTTGGTTTGCCCTAGTGGAGTTGTGGCACCACCGGTTTTATCTTTTGCTTATGAACTCTAATTGAGACTTCCGCTGCTATATTTATGTGTTGTATGTTGGGACCTCGGACCCTTTTATGTGTCATGTACCTCGCTGCACTTTAACCCTATTATGGTACTTGCTATGTTTATTAATTGCTTGCGATGAAAGTGTGAGGCTAGTCGCATTCCTGGGGACTAGCTAAGCATGAGTAACGGGTTTTGATCGCTTGAGATAATTGGGGATAGCACTTTGGATCGAGTCACTGGGGTATGCTTTTGGTCGCCACCTTCGAGTGGTTGACAAGCATATGACGTGGTGGACTGGCAAGCTATCTTACGGTTATGTCTTGCGCTCACTACTCGACATTTCGATTATTATAACAGAAGGTTGTCAACCACGATCATGGACACATTGAGGACGAGTGGCTATTTATGCGTGTATGGATCCCACTTCTCCAATAGTATGTGGTGGTCGCGTTGGACACTGGATGGTATAATACTCGGGGTGTCCACAGAGAGCTGCAGCAGATCTAGCCTTAGCATGATCCAACAAGGGCCTCACATAGGAGGTTAGGGCCTTGGCAATCAAAGAAAAGTTCAGCTCCACCGCAAAATAACACTGTAAAAAATAACAAGGAAAGTCAACGTTGTTGCAAATCCTCCATGTGAAGCAGCCAAATCGATCACTCTGACGGCGGAAACAAAGAAACCACAAGCAGTTGCAGTAGAACAAACCAAGAACACATACCCAAACAGGGCCTCTGTTGTGTAGAGGTTAAAGCTTCTTTGGTACAACATGCAAAACCCAACTGCTTGATGAAGAGTCGCAGCTAGATGCGATGAAGAAGGCTACTGCTCTTGAAGCTTGCTCGCCGGAGAAAGAAGTGTTGGCCGGCGCAACCCAAGCTAGTCTGGAACACCCCTAGTTGATTGCAACAAGGTTGGGCCCGAAAACACGAGAGACGACCACCAAAAAGAGCTCCGATGTTATCCCCCATGAAACTAGGACGAGGAAGTGAACGTCAACGACCTCCTCAAGCTATACACATGAACCTAAAAAAACAAGATTAACTTGAACTACGGGAAAACCCGACCCAGCTAACTACAAGGAGGACCCGACCTCTCTTTCTCCCATCACCGGGGCGAGCCACCGGAGCCGAGGAGGAAGAGGGGCCAGAGCGGTGGGGAGATTTTTCTCGCTCCTTGGTTGAGAGCTTTCACGAGACACTGGTTAGACTCCTATCGATCATATTCATGTCATACACTCATCAGTCTTATTACCTTCTTGACTTCTTGTTGTTGTTGCCTGATTATGTAAATACCTTAACTGTAGAATGATGAAGTTACTTTAGCATGGTTTCTAAAGCAGGACTGTCCACATTTACCTTATGCAAGGGTAAAAAAAATGCAAGATCTACAATCTGATACTCCCTCTGTTTCACAATGTAAGTCATTCTAGCATTTCCCACATTCATATTGATGTTAATAAATCTAGACATATATATCTATCTAGATTCATTAACATCAATATAAATATGGAAAATGCTACAATGACTTACATTGTGAAATGGAGGAAGTATTAAGGTTTTCTTTGGGGCAACAATACAAGGTATGACAAGAGTGAGCCACTCATCGCTATTTGTCTCCACAATTGTGTATACGTTGCAAACTTGCACCTGTTGGAGCCGTCAATTTCGTTTTGCTACATGAGCAATTAAACAAAATCAATCACCACACCAACCAGAAATAGTAAGTGATGTCTTTATGCATTACATAAATATATGTTTGTTAGTAACTCATAGTGCTCGCCATTCGTGTTGTAAAGCCCTAACTTAATAAACTGGAACGTTTATTTGGCAGTACTGTAGGCCTTAGAATTTGTGTGTGCAGTTAGAAAGTAGCATGCCAATATTTGTGTAATGAATGGAACAAAATTAGACCATACAATGCCTAAGCTATTGATAAAGTTGCCACATGATTCATTTAGGAGTTTGTACAAGCATGCTTTTGCTAGCTACCATTTTGTGAGGCATTCATTATATTTTTTTTCTTCTAGGAGCCCAAGATTATATCATGACCTGAATCCTGACCGATACTCATAATTAAATCTCAGATGTTGTATATGTCATCATTGATATCTGATTTATCCTACTTATCAATGTCTTCTCCACATTGTTTAAGGTTATCCAAATATTTACATGCCTCATATGTAGTTGAATCTCTCTCTCTCTCTCGCCACTCAAACGTTATGACAGTTTGGAATTGTTTGCTTTACACAATCTCTAAAATAGATCATCGAAGGAAAGAATCGAATGCTCCTTTAGACAACAAGAAGGCAAAACAACTAGAAAAAACAAGAATGCTCACTTGATCTCTGCACTATCAAACAACGAGGCAGCGTTACCAGTTACCTGCCATTTTTGAACTGATGCCTACATAGTTTTAAGGATACACTTCACTACCTCAACAATCTGGTGCTTATAAGAAGCATATTCAATATGTTGTTATTATTTGTAAGCAATAGCAGCACGATCCATGTCTTGGTACTAATGCATTTCAGTGACTTTCTTGCAATCGTATTTTGTATAAGCTCATTGCTCAATGAACTTTAACTTAAGCTAATATTCGGAGTACTGTTCCATTGATAAATGTAGGTTTTGATGGAGTCCATTGCCTTGGAAAGATTAATGCTCATGGTTTTATTATTACCAATCTATATCTATACTAATATAAAAATGAGGAGTTCACCTCTTCCAATCCTACAGGCCAAATCAACTTATGAAATCCCTACCGTTCATCTGCATCTACATTGCCCTGAGCCCTAATCCCTGCCGTCCACCCACATCGCAGGCCCCATTCTATCTCCACCGCTATTTTCGCTCGATGTGCCATCCTCCTCGCGTTAACACCGCCGCCGCTCGCAATAACACTGTCGTTTCTCCATCTTCCCCAGATGACGTGAGCCCCCTCGCTCCTGCTAATAGCCTAGCGCTGCTTCTCGAGGCGCGGTGTGAGCCGCCCACAGATGCAGCGGCGACCGACGAGGTGGGCAACAAGAAGCTAGCGTCAGTGTAGGGTGCCCTCGAGATCATCACGCAGGCACGGAGGTGGAGCTAGGGTCACAGGCAGCAGATGGCGTGCATCCTATCGCTTCTCCTCTGGAAACGATGTTGATGAGATGCCGCTGCGCCTTGGTCACCATCGCTCCGTTGGGAGACCACCTCCCCAAATCAGTAATGGCTGGCACCTCCCCCAAGCTCCCATCGAATCCACCAGTCTCCTCCACCACCAGACCCGTTTGGCCTTCTTCTCCATCAGATCCATGTATATATCCAACCTCTGAGGCACCGTGGGGCCACTGGATCAGGCCTACTCAGTGACGACGGTGAGGAGGAAGCTTGTGGCGCCGCGGAGAGGCAATGGGGGCGGTTTCAGGCTCGATAGGCTTGTGAGTGGTCATAAGACTCATGACCTCCGTGCGCGGCGGAGCTCGGTGCCATGAAGCGCGTGTTGGAGGACACGGAGTAGTAATTCAGTGGCGCATGCTGCCCTTGTCGGTGCGTCCATCCATCCACTCTGTCTCTGTCTCTGTCTCTTTCTCTTGATACTCGATAGCATTTGGTGAACTGTCTCCCTAATTACAGCCAGTTTTGCCTGATT